TCTAGATCTACCTCTACCACTCTTGAAATCCGTTTCTAATATGTCCCTGACTAGTCCTTCATACCTGAGAAGGTGTCCTACTAACTTATCTCGCCTATTTCTTATTGACTTCCATAGAGTCCTCTGTTCTCTTATTCTTTTTAATACCTCTCACCTCTCCATTTCTAACCTTCTCTATCCACGATATCCTCATCATTCGCCTGTAACACCACATTTCGAACGCTTCTAACTGTCGAGCCCACTGTCTATGTTTCGTACCCGTACAGCGCCGTGCTCCAAGTATACACCTTTAACAATCTTTTTCGAATAGATAAAGTAACCGTTCGCGAGCATAATAGTGACTTCTATTTATTGAAGGCGACTCGACCCTGCGCTATCTCTGCTTTATAACCATACTACTCCTTCCGTCCTGACTTATCTGACTTCCTAGATACCTAAAATCACCCAATTCTTCTAAGCTTTCGTCTCCTATCTTTACATTCGCTCTTTCCTTACATTTTATTTCCCTGTATACCAGTATTTTGGTTTTAATTTTATTTATTTTCATACAATGCTGTTCTGACAATCCGGCTCCCAATTATTTAACGCTTTTTCGTTTCCTATCATCATATTCATCTTTTCCCTACTTTTTCTTCCCTTGAATATTTTTGTTTTAATTTTATTTATTTTCATACAGTAGTTTCGTCACTACCGCTTCCACTTTATTTAAAGCTATCTCTAACTCCTCCTTGCTAGATGCTGATACTATTAAATCATCTATTAATCTAAGCATACTTATCTTTTGCCCCTGTTTACCTATCTTTACAGTTGTACTGTATTTAATGATGTTGATCGCGTCTTCGATGTATAGATAATGTAATTTATTTTTTGGAACAACATATTTCCTCTCTTCATTTTCGATACATTGTCTACCGATGTTAATGTATTTTCAATTTCCATCACTACTCCTTTGATGCTACTTTCCTTAGTACATTATATAGTAACTAAAATAAATGCATAGAGTCTATACCGGAACTTCTATCGATTGTTGCAAAAGGTAGGCCTAAAATTTCATTATAAACTTCATCATTATAATTCGATACGACCAAAGTTCGAGATCAGTCGACATAGTGCACTACTTTGTATAATATGTATAATATAAGTAGTCATTGCACAGGAATATCCCCTTTCATAGATACAAGAAACTTCCAAGCTTAATTTCGACGTTGCAAACGATCTAAGTTTCCGGCATTATAGCACTACGTACAAGCATTCCATGGGTATAATTTAAGATGCAGCGTATTACTCCTTTCGATCATAAAATAAAATTAACAGGACAATAGAATATTGTAACCAACATGAATTATACTATCAACCCTCTGTACCATCACGTGACATCAATGACAACAACACACTATCGTATATATACAAATTTCTCTTTTATTAGAATAATGAATGTGAATTGTAGAAATGAAGTAAATGCTCTTTTAAAAGATGAAAGAGACCGTTCTTACAAAACGCTGCAGAGTTCAAGAGTCTTAAAAATGGGATAGGTACAGCTTGACAAGAATAGGAAAAAGTTTCAGTTAGTAACGTTTAAACGCGGAAGAAAGACAAAGAAAATATTCGGAAGGGAAAGGGCCGCAGAAAAAGGAGATTTTTCGCACATGTCCCCTAAACATGGAGAAAGGACCCTTATGAGTTGCTAACCAAATTGTCGACTGCTTTAAAATAATTGAGTACAAATAAAAAAGTCATTGCCGCTCATAATGAAACAAAAGAAAAGCACATATGGATTTAAGAAAACAAACTGCAATAACAACAATACCAACAGTAAAAACAATCAATATAAAAAACACATTTACCAAGAGCCAACAGGAATAATTGTGATGCGCCCGAATGTAATCTCACCAAACGGTGGGACAAAAGTGGCTTCCCGCACTTTCGTATTTTTAATGGTTGCATGTAATAGAATATCCTTACCTATACTCGGTTCTCAACTTGTTACTAGTAGGTATATAGAATACTTCCCGTTTATATACACTATATACGTCATTCGTATTCCGGACTATTTGAAAGATAATATCTGGAGGTAGTGCATCTCGTGAAAGCACCATAACATATAGGGTGTAAAAGTATACACCAAAAATACTACAGTTAACGAGTTAATGATTGAGAACAGTTGCCAGTTTGGCAGCTGCATTATCGTATCGCCCTTCGTTATTGCAAGCGGCAAATGACAAAACACGCATACCTACCAGTGACCTTCGCAACAGCAGGTACACACTCAGATCAATTCACGTGTGACAATTATTAGTAAATTCGATTATATATCACTATGTAGTGGGAAACGGCTCATTCTTTTTCATGTACCTTCTTCTCCTTTAATTATTCCGTAATACTGATCAGACATAGCGTATATTTTTGATGATTGGATGGTAATAGAATATCCCTATGATCAGTTCTCAACTCGCTACTAGTAGGTCTATAATTTCGTATTTATAAAACTTTAAAATTCAGCATCTCATCATGCCACAATTAAAGGAAAAACCTGATTATTTACAGAATTATTATATGATAAACTAAATTCATAATACCCTTGTATAAGAGTAAATGAGTAAAGTGGTGTTATCCATTTTTTTTTTCTGAGGCATAATAAGCTAATATATGTATTAAATTTATTAATAGAAACATAATTATAAAGTAACTAAATGCACTAACGATAACTTTTACAATGACATGCCGAGGTTCAATAATATTGAAATGTTTTAAAACTTAAAATTGTTTATATTTAATCTAAACTGCAAAAAATCATTACTTAAATACTTGCAACATCACAAACCCCTAACCTCAAGACACATTTCAAATTACAAAAATTAGTAACACCCACACATTAAAAACGTTTTACCATTCGCATTTTCTTATTTAAGTGTTATGCACACTTCAACAAAAGTTCTCAGAAAAAATCGATCCCTTCCATACAACTAAGAAGTACTCTCCAAAGTGCCAAAAGCTGTTAGACGCACCACGGACAAGCCCTAACTTCCTGAACTGCTTGGCGAGTCAACGACAATTAGATGATGGAAAACTTCCAAGAGTACGAAAACGTGAAACGAAACCCAAGAATAAGTTATTTAATATATGAGGCAGCCTCAAAAGAAGTTCCTTCCGTCGGATAATTATTTCAAAAGCAAGTAGAAAGGGGACCCTTTCGTTGAAAACGGATGAAATAAAAAAGAAAAGGCAAGAAAACTTCTCGCCAATCCCCACGAACCAAGTACCCGACTCCGACAACCTCGTAAACAAGATATGCTAGAGAAGTTAAAAGACAGAAAAGATAATAATATAGTCAGCAATAACTTAATTATGTATGTTACTTTTGTACTAAATTTTGAGAAAGTTTCTTTTCCTCAAGTGTATATGTATATGCTAGGATCAATGTCCATCAACGACCATGGGCACTGCGGGTGTCGAAACGCGTTTTAGTTTTTTTGGAGTTTTCTGTGTTTATTGAGTTACGTTCTACAGCTCTCAATTGTATTCTGTATACAAACGTGGAATGGGTAAATTACCAATTTTGGACATAGGGCAATAAAATTAAACACCCTGGGTCCTCGATGGACCTCCACATCACAATACATGACTTTATGACACTCTTCTAGCTGTCAACGCTAACCAATTTGTGTACACATTTAATCTTGAAATTTATTAAAACGTTAAAAAAGCAGACATTAAAAAAAAACTGAATTTTGAGTGAAACGAATTGATGAATAGGACTCGAACAATTACTTTATGAGTAGTTCGCTTTTCTAGGGCAACTTCAGGAATACAACAGTTACTAAATTAATTAACTACAAAGTAGGTACTTATTAAAAAACGATTTCCGTTAAATTCTCTTCTGTTCACTCTTTACGGCTACAATATTAATGTTACGGAAAACATTAAATATAACATTAATCTTTTCTACATCTCGAAAATCAGTTGTAGACTCTTCATATCAGTTGTCATATTAATAGTCATTGAATCATTAAATCATATTTAGCGAGGCTTATAACATAATTTTTAAAACTGATGTTAAACTGCGTTTACATGGACATAGTTCAATAATAACATAAAAGTTACAACTGTAAGGTATTTAGGTGTAGCTTCACGTAAACGTAGTCTTTACCGTCAGAAAATGCCTGAAGAAATATATTTAATTTCTTTTTAATACAATGTACGATACAATAAGCAGTTTTCAATTCCAGATTTATTTTTAGAAATATCACGAAACCCGGCAACGAAGCTCGCCTCTTTAGTTATCCAAAATTTAGCCAGCACCTAACCTTTTCACGCATGAATAGAGCGACCAATCTTCGACAAAATATTGACAGTGACACAAGCAAAGGGGTTGAAAAATTCCCTGTCGATTAACGGTTTTTCCCCGTCATCGGCCGTTCTTATTACGTCCTACTCGTTGAATTACATAAAAGGCGACAGTTTCATTACATTTTCCGCTCCAGTAATTTAATCTTCTTCTACCGAAAACCCTTTTTAGAGGTAGACATAAACGAAAAGAGCGTAAAAAATATTAAATTTGGTAGAACAACCATCGTTATAATTCGATTGAATTAATTAAGAATTTGATTAGGAAGTATAATTAGGTTTACAGAATCAGATGATAAGCTTTATAATGAAATAAAATTATAAATTTCTTTGATCATAAAACAATAAAATGAAAACTTTATGCAATAGG